CACGGGCCCGCCCGGTGCGTTCCAGCCTGGGTTGCAATTTACATATATGCAAAAACGCATAAAAACGGCCGCTAAACGGAAATTGTTTATTTCTGTTTATGCAAAATTTGCGATGATTTACGTTATTGGGTGCACAAAGTAGATGTGAAGGAACAACCGTTCATGCAGTTAACCTAATTAGTTCAGGCCTGGTACAAAAACGCATGATCGTACCGGCTGGCATGGTGCGTTGCAGCCTGGGTTACTTATTTTTGTATGCTAATTTTTGTATGTGTCTATATATCTGTGTAAGCATATATATGTACGTATGCGTACGTAAGTGTGTATTAGTGTGCTTGTACGCAAGTTCACGTATATGCTTGCAGGTGCTTGTGTATTGTGTGTTTATTTGTGTCCATATATATATTTACTTTTATACATATATATATATATATATATGTGTATAAAAGTATGCACATAAAAAGTGTGTTTTTAAGTGCAAGACCCGACTTGACGTCATACTTTTCAAGAAGGCCAGAAGCAAAGCAGTGTTAAGCGGAAAAGATAAGACTGCATGCAAGTCATGTTGACGGAAACCGACAGAGGAAGTATGCCATAAGCTCTGTTATGGAGCAACAGAAAGTATGTAGGGTGATCTCACGCAAAATGATATCGCTGCATATGAATGCATTCGTTACCCATTTTGACAGATTATCCTCAGAGGGGTTTGTAATAGTGTAAACTCTCACTTCGGCGCTAAGCAGCATTCGACGTCTTTATTTTCTGTCACGAAGTCTCTAAAAGGAAATTACAACAAAAGACACTACTGTAGCCTGCAGTGATTTTTTTATCTTTTACAAATAAAAATTATTTGCCAGTATGCTTTACTGTCTCTTCTGAAAAAAAAAGGGGCTGGATCCGTTCCTATTTCTATGACTATCGAACTCAGAATTTCCACTTCAGATTACGGGACCGGCTTCAGTATTTGGCTACGAAAGATTACAGATTAAAAGCGCAAGACCGAGGCACATCTGGGCTCATTGGAATTTTGAATTTTTTAGCACGATGAAGAATAATATTCAACGCACAGGCCTGCGTGCAACTGACCACGCGGATAGTTTCACGAGATTTTGGGACTGATCTTGATTTTTCAGAAAAGCCACCACTGATTTCACCGGGAAAAGCTGCATCCTCAAATCAGCCAACGATTCCCCTGCGTTCATTGCCGATTAAAAGCAAGTAAGTGATGCATGCAGTATGACAGGCCATCAGATGGGTTCAAAAGTGCTGAAGCTTTGCTAGTTTACATTGGGACTATAGCGAGCAGAAAGCCATTCGCTGTAATTCCACCAAAAAATCTTAGACATTTATGATCGTGCGGCAGTAAAAAGGTATCTGCCAGTGCCACAAAGAGTGCTATCAGTAGTGTTGCTCCTTTTAGGCATCGTTATTCCTGCAATGGAAAAATCGGTCTGAGAAATCCGTTCTCATCAGCTGCTTATGCTTCTTCATCCAACACACTTTGCGTTGCATTACCGGCAACAATGACAAAAAAAACATTGAAGAGAACAGCGAAACGTATGGATGAAACGGGCAAAAAAGCGCGGATCCTGGAAAATGCTATCAATAGTGTTGCAGAGCACAACCAACATCGGTCCATATTCCACTCTGCGGAACAACTGGCGCAGTCCGGCTAACTGTTGGTAACTACTGAGGACGGATTTCAAAGTGCTTTCGAATCTATTCTTATTGTATAGTAGTTTTTGACTCTTCTAAACACTAAAGGATTTAATCCTTACAAATATTGTGTGTGTGAACAGTCAGGTGTTATAAAACAATTAATCTCGTCTTGAAACCATTCAGTAACTGGGCCGCTCAGAATTGAACTTCAGATTTGCACTGGCCCAGATCCTACCGCAGTTGTGCAAACGCATACAATTGTAATGCTGATCTGATCTGCGTAGTTTAATAGCTCAAACCATCCTA